CTACGCATTTGGTCTTCCCACAATCCTGGGAGATAGGTGGGGTACCTGGCGTTCACAGATGAGAAATTAAGATGGTAGGGTCACCTTAGATGGCCGTGCATGGAGCTCCCTGCACAAGGGCTGCCTGCACTAGGGCTACAGCCACCTGGAGGAAGGAGCACCCTTTTGTAATTTGCATAAACAGACCCTTTACTTTCCTCGAGCCCTGTTTACTGTGAGCTTGTGGAATAAGAACCCTAGGTGATGCCTCTTCCTAATTTGCACAAGGGCACAGCATAGGCTGGTGGAACTGTTTCCCTAAGCCACCTGTAAACTGCTTTTTTAAAAAAAAAAAATTTATTGACTTCAGAGAGAGGGGGGAGACAGATAGAAACACCAATGATGAGAGAGAATCATTGATCGGCTGCCTCCTGCACACCCCCTACTGGAGATCGAGCCCGCAACCTGGGCATGTGCCCTTTGCTGGAATCGAACCTGGGACCCTTTAGTCCGCAGGCCGACGCTCTATCCACTGAGCCAAACCAACTAGGGCTGAAAACTGCTTTTAACAGGGACAGCACAATGACTGAGTCCAGGTCTACTGACTTCCGGTTCATGGCTTTGTGGTAGGCAGTTGGACAGACATGAGCACAGCAAGGACGATGGGCCAGGAATAGAAGGTCACCAGGGCAGAAAACAAGGACCTCGCCCCCCCTCCCCCGGGTAAACTTTCCTTCCCAGGATATTGCTGGTCATGTGGGTTAGACCCCCTGACTTTTCATATCGCTGGTCATGAGGTTCAGACCTTCCCCTGACCTTTCCTCCCCTGACATGTCGCTAGTCATGAGGGTTAGACCCCCTGAGAGGCGGGATGAACAAGGGGGCCAGAGAACAGCCCTTAAGCATTAAGCCCCCAGGACAATGAGGTTCTGACCTGCATCAAAGACATCTAGGCTTTAGTTGTGCTTGGGATCCAGGCCCAGAAAAGCAGCAAAACCAGACAAGCACACCACAGCTGACCTCAGGACCAGCAGCACTGACTAATGATCCCTGCCCTGGCGCCAACCAATCAGTGGGACCACAACCCTGAAAGGACACACCTGGAAAACTTCTGTTAAGATCCTCCCCTGGGACCTCCCCTAAAATCGGACCCTTAAAACCCCTTAGGACAGAGGACCTTTCCCCTCCTCATCCTCCTCCTCTGCCCCCACACCCTCAGCAACATTACCTTTACCTTTCTCTCTAAGATCCAAGGGCCCCCTCTTTTGCCTCCGTAACTTGTTTCCTAAGCCCATTTCTTCTACCACTCACTTCTTCTTCCTCTGTGACTTTCTTCATAAACTTCCTCTTATGGTTTGAGTCTTGGCTCTGAATTCTTTCCTAGCCAGAACTGAGGCTGAGGTGTACTGAGGTGGCTGAACCAAGGTCCAGTCTGACCCCACCGGTCTAACTCCACTGGTCTAACACCTGGTGTCATTTTCGCCACCACGAACAGCTTTAAATAACATAAGATGAAGATTCTCACAGCCATTGGCTTTCCCAATGTCTCAGAACTAGTCACATAGCCCCTCCCAGGGATCTGTGAAGATTGCTTTTGAATAGAAACAACCGAAGTGTCGTGTTGTCCATAGTGTTGACACTGTCCCATCACTAGGCCTTTTCTGAAAATGTTCTCCTTCCCTTTCCCTGCCCCTACCTTCCAAAATGTCCTCCTCGGTCTTCATTTACTATGTGCCAGGCAGTTTGCTAAGTATTTTATAAGAATTCTTCTAGGTCCTAACTGAATACAGCTATATAGGTGACCTCAGGTTACAACACATGGCACAAAAAACCTCTCAGCTGAGCCCAGTCAACCAGAGAATCGTGAGAATCCTATCATTGGTGTAAGCCTCTGAATAACAGGGGTGATTTGTTACACTGCAGCAGGTAACTGAAACACTGTGTTTTCTCACCCTATCACACAGCCAAGCCATACCCTCATAGCAGGCACCAAAGGTGAATAAACCCCCAGAGAAGACTGTGGACAACAGGAAACTGAGATTAGATAGAGAGCATAGCAGAGTTGATTCAGAAACATTTTACTACCTCAGTACAATCAGTTCTCTGTGTCCAACCAACCATGGATTGAAAATAGTTGGGGGAGCGCGGAATCCCAGGACATTCCAATAAGCAAAACTTGAATTTGCCACGCAATGAGCACTACATTGGATCCACACAAATGAAGTTATGTATAGGCACACCCTACTGTAGCCTATATACAAACACAGGTTATGGGCAAATGCTACGCCATTTTATATATGAGACTTGAGCATCCTCAGATTTTGGTATCTGAGGGGGGACGGGGGTCTTGAAACCAATCACAAGGGATACTGAGGGACGACTATAATCATCTGTGTTCTTACTGCGTATAAGCAGCACAGGCTGGTGATCTGGGTTGTGGGTTTTGGATTCAGAAATGTTGAAATCCTGGCTCTCCCACCTGCTAGCTCTGGGCACTTGGAAGAGGTGCTTAAACTTCTCCAAACCACAACTTTTCCAGACTGTGAAATGGAAGTCAATCGTAATTACTTCCTGAAGCTGCTGGGAGAAGTAAACATGGTAATGCAAGAAAGCCCGTCCTCCCCTCTCCCTTCTTGCCTAGGAAATTCCTATTCGCGCTTCACCCACTATTTCACAAATGCCACTCTTTCTAGGAAGCCTTTCCTAATGGCCACCAGGATTCCACAGGCCTCCCTGCTATATTCAGTCACAGCACCATGAACTTGCCCTGTATAAATACGCACCACGAATTGAAACTGTGTTCATTCTGTTAATCATTTGTTAACGTCACTCTCACCCAGGAGAAACCATCAGCTCCACAGAGCCTAGCACACAGAGGAAAGTATTTCTAAACACGTGTTCAATGAAAATAAAGAGAAAAAAAACAACACATTTAGCCCAGAATCTTGACAAGCGCCAAGTGCTTTAGATGAGAGCTCAGCACTGTGCTATGTGCTTCTTCAAGAGTACGCACGGCCGAAGCATATCATCTAATGAGGGTGAAAGTACGTGCAGAAGTAACTACCCAATACTGTAGACAATGGTCACAGTGCCCCTCCAGTTCTGACAAGGCAGAGATCACCTCCTGACGAGGACAAGCCAGAAAGGCTTTCCAAGGAGCCCTGGCATTAGAGAATCCACCCTCCCAAGTGCCAATCCTAACAACAAAAAAGGGTGTTTGCTACTTCTCTTTTGGACCCAGAAGCCTGGCCTAAGGCAAAGACTACATCAGGTCACTAATTCCGGCTTCATTCATCATTCCTCAGATTTTTTTTATTGAGCCATGAACACGCTGGCATCTCCCCCCACCTCCCCAAACAGGCCTCCATGGTGACAACATGTTCACCAGCATCCTACTCACTCCTTTGTGACCTGGGCCCCCAACTTCATAATCTCCTCTAATGAAAGTCAGGTGTTATCACTAAAAAAATTACCACCTTCCTCTCCCAGCATCTCCCTTAGGTGTGCTCCCACGCAGCACATGGAGCGCACTGCCTGGCGGCTGCTGCTTAATGCACCTTGGTGAGATCTTGCTTAAGAATGTGAAAGCTGGAGGGACACCTGGAAGATCTCTGGTACAACGCTCCGCTGAGACGCAGATATGAGGCCTGCAGAGAAGATGACCTTTGACCAAGGTCATCAAGTGAACTAACCAAAGGTAAAGCCAGACTAGAGTCCAGGGCCTCACCCCCAGGCCTGGGTGCTTTTGATTTTTCAAAGAAATTTCCCATCATCCTATTGCCAGGAACCTCGGTCCTCCTCGGAGGAGCCCTTGGCATAAAGAGGGCCACTGAGTACTGAGGCCAGGGTGCTCGGTTATAGGAGTACAAACAGCAGCATTTTAGAGGCACCGGTCACTGGGATAAGCACTTTACAGGAATTATCTCACCTGATTCCTCACAACCAACCGTGGGAGCCGATACAATTGTTTCCCCCATTTCACAGATTATGAAACCACTATTGTTGTCCCCATTTCACAGATTACGAAACTAAGGCACAGGGAGCATAAGCCATCTGCCCCAAGTCCCACAGCTGTTGGGATAAAAGAGAAGGTGGGCAGGCGATGGAAAGAATGCGGAGAAAACTTAAGAGGATGGCTTCAGTGACCCCCCACTCGCTTTTAAGGGGTCCTTGATGTTCTAGAAAGACGACAAGTCCTACCCAACATCCACGGGGCCCCGGAACCTGGGTTTCCCGTAACCCTCCCCACGAGCCTCTCCCTCCGTTGCAGCAGAGAGGGAACGTGAGGCCGCGCACGGAGCCTTCCCGCCGCCGGAGGGGGGAGCCTTCGAGGAAACCTCCACCCTCGCCCAGCACAGCCCGGAGGCAGCACCGCAGCGGCAGGGGGATGGTGGGTGCGGACTCTGGCGTGGGGAGCGGAGGGGGGACGAGAGGGGACCCGGGGGATAAAGAGGACAAGAGGGGAGAAGAGCGGCCAGGGGAGATGGGGACGCGGGGACGGGAGGGGGAGGGACAGCTGCAGAAGCGGGCGCCAGGGCGCAGACAGCTGGCGGCGGAGAAGGCGCGGGAGAACCGGAGCCCCAGACCGGAGCCGGGCGGGTACCTTTCGGAGGAAGCTGGCGACCACCTGCTCGAAGGGGTACTTGTACACCTGGTGCACCTCCACCGTGACCCCCATCCCCGCGCGCCCCCGCGGCCGCCACGCCTCCGCGAGCGCAGGGCCACCCGAGCTCCACGGGACTGCAGGCCGCCACACGAGGGCGACCCAAGGGGCGTGGGGTTTTTCCTCCTCTTTCAAACTTTGAAACTTTATTGTCCGCTCGGAGAAACAGACAAGCGGTCACGTCCCCGCCCTCTTCCGCCAACGTCCTCTGTCGGCGGCGGAGCTGGGGGAGGCGCACCCGGCCCTCTGGGGCCCCGCCGTCTCCGCCTGGAGGCGCCGGGAGCGGCCGGGACCCCCCTCCCCCGCGGGGTCTGCGGACCGCAGTTTCCAGGCCCGGAGCTGCCCGCCAGGCCTTGGAGCCTCGGACTTTGGGACTCGTGCCTTTGTGTCATCACTTGGTCTGGAGCCACAGGGTAAGCCGTAAACCGCTGATGGCGACCCTGAAAGAGGAATAAACACCGTAAACAGCCATCCTCCGCGCCTAGGAGCTGTCATATCACCCTCCTTGTTAGTACGGTGAGACAGGGCCCGGGCAGCTGCCTCCCAGGCTTGACTTTGGGTCTCAAGTATAGAAGCTGGCTCCAAAAATTCCTTTGCTTCTTAAAGATTAAACACCACAGAGAAAACAACAAGGAGTTAGAAAAAGAATTGTGCGTGTTCTTCACTCGGACTGTGCACATTGGATGAGAAGGAGCAAGTGATCCATTCATTCAATAAGTTCTTCACCATGCTACTTACTGAAGACCTACTATGCACCAAGCCCTGTGGTAGCACTGGATTCAGCGGTAAATAAAGCACAGTCAGTAGGAGTGGTAAGCCCGGTGACTTAACCAATTAACCAAATGGGAAAATAAACAGGATAATGGATTAAAGTTGCAGGAGTGGTAGGTAGTAAATGATGTTAGCTAGAATGAATCAGGAAGGTCTGTGAGGCGATGGCTTTTACATGTATAATTGTATCATCTCACTTGCCCCTGACACATGGTCACACTGGTCGCAAAAGCCTAGCCTTCAATAAAGCCAGCTGTCCAGTCAGTCACTGCTTCATCCAAGCTGCTGAACAAGGGAGATATACATCCACTGCTATCAGGCCTCTGTTTTGTTTTGTTAATCCTCACCAGAGTATGTTGTTTGCATTGCTTTTCAGAGAGAGTGCAAAGGAGGGAAGGAGGGGGAGAGAGGAGAGAGAGAGAGAGATAGAGAGATATGAGAGACACATCAACTAGTTGCCTCCTGCACGCCTCCCCCCCGCCGCCCCCACCACGACCACAACCACCACCAGGGGCGACCAGGGGTGGGGAGGGAACCACAACCCAGGTATGCAACCTTGACAGAAATCAAACTAGAGACCCTGGGGTGTGCAGGCTGATACTCTAACCACTTAGCCACTCCAGCCAGGACTATCGGGCCTCTTTTGAATTCATAACTACTAATGCTGTAATGTACCCCTCGAATCACACAAGGACGCCTCAAGAAGTCGAATTAAAGAGTCACATTTATTGCAAATCCAGGACGATGAGGGGGCATTTCGCTCTCCCAGATCTCATAGTGTCCGCCCCAGCCCCAACACCAGATTTATATAGGCAAAGATCACAAAGGTATTGATTACATCCCAAGGTTTGGAATGAGGAACCTGGTTTGCGAAAAAGCAGTTTACAGAAGCAGAAGCAGCATGTTATCTGAATTATAGTTTTGGGTCCCCGGATCACTGAATTGACAGAAACACATTATCTAGAGCCCTCAAGTCTGGAATGAGGAACACGTTAACTGGAGCCCTCTGACCTTGGGATAATTGTGCTGTCCTTCCCAGGTAAAGGAAAATGTGCTTTCTAAGACCAGTATGACCACAACCAATGGGATTTCACATTACAATCAATAGGGTATTTAATCGAATGAGGTGATTTATTTAATTCAGAAAATTAAAATAACTTTTCTATTATTTTAGCAAGAAAATAAGTATAGAAACCAAACAGCAGGGTTAGAGTTAAACTACAGTTTCTACCTGAGATGACTGCTCCCATACTTTACTACCCTCAAGGGGCCTTTAATGATGCCAGATGAAAACACTACATTTCTCTAATCCAGTGGTTCTCAACCTTCCTAATGCCACGACCCTTTAATACAGTTCCTCATGCTGTGGTGACCCCCAACCATAAAATTATTTTCATTGCTACTTCATAACTTTAATTTTGCTACTGTTATGAATCGTAGTGTAAATATCTGATATGCAGGATGTATTTTCATTGTTCGAGACCCACAGGTTGAGAACCGGATTAGATTATAGTCTAATCCATTTAGTGTGCCACACTCCTCCCACTCTAACCTCCGCCACTTCCCTCCCAGCCTTATTCTGGGGTGCTTTTCCTGTCTTCCTTTTTCACTTAGTAAATAGGAAACCTCTCTTTTCCGCATCTACCCACCCACCTGTCCAAATGCCCCGCCTTCTCTCCTGTTCTTCTGGATGAACTATGGGCACTGACCTGAGGGCCAGTCTCTCCACTTGTCCACTGAATCCAGCGATGCGTTGTCAAATGGTTAACAAACAGCTCTCAAGCCCTGATTTCTCACGCTTATGACTTCTGTGGTGTAAATGCTCCCACTGTGGCCAATGTCAGGCTACCACGGTGATGTCACTAAGTGTGGCATTGGGAGAACAAGCACAGGAGTGCACCATTGTGGGGCATTTCCACCAGGCACGGACGACAGACAGAACCACAGGAACACCGATGACGGTAAATGTAGTGACATAATTAGGAAGGGATGGGTTTTGAAGACCTATTACCTTTTAAAATATAGTTTAGCTAATTATAAATTTATAAAATTTAGTAATAGCTGTACTTAACCAGCAGACAGGGTTCAGAACACAGTACTCCAAAATATGGCATCTTGCATACTGAATATTTTAAGCTGATGGAGTTTGAGAAAACAGCAGCAACAGAAAGTTCTCACTGACCTCCCCTTCTCCCCTGAAGCAGGTCATGGATCCGGGGTGTGGGAAGTGCCCTCCCTATACCCGGAGGATAGGAGCATACTTGTCTCCAGGATGGAGGGTTCGTGGGAAGAATTTGAACAAACAGGACTTGCCAAGTTTCCCGTTTACTACATTTACCTCATACTCTTTGTTCTAATCTATCCTATTGCTACTCGAGGTCCACTTTTCATCAAACCTGGCATAAAAACACCATTTTTACACATCTTCCTTTCTTTATGAAGGCTCCCTGTCATATAAAACTTACGGGAAGTAAATGAACATGCTTTTCTCCTGTTTATATGTCTTCGTCAGTTTAATTTTCAGACCCAGCCAGGAACCCTAAGAGGGACCAGAGAATTTTTTTTCTCCCCTGCATAGCAACACGGCATCACTGAAAGTTCCTTGTCCTCTTTCTTTTAAAAAAAAATATATTTTATTGATTTTTACAGAGAGGAAGGGAGAGGGACAGACAGAAACATCGATGAGAGAGTAACATTGATCAGCTGCCTCCTGCACGCCCCCTACTGGGGATGTGCCTGCAACCAAGGTACATGCCCTTGACCAGAATCACACCTGGGACCCTTCAGTCCACAGGCAGACGCTCTATCCACTGAGCCAAACCAGTTAGGGCCCTTGTCCTCTTTCTTATTCAAGGACATCTTTCCAGTAATATCTCCCCCTCTCTCTTGCATCATCAGTTTTGCCTCTACTAGATCATTCCAAACAGCACACAAGTAAGTATACCATGATTTCTTCCATCTTAAAAACATCCACTCTTAACCGCCTATCTTCCTCCAGCTCTATTCCAGTTCTCTGCTCCATTTTAGCACCTCAGAAAGCTTGCCTCTAACCTCTCGAACTCGTGAAGTTTGGGCCCCTGCCACTCCACTGAAACTACTGTTGCCAATGTCACCAATTGCTAAATTGCTAAATCCAATACAGTCATACACCACTAGAAGACAGGGACATGTTCTCAGAAATGCATCCTTAAGCAATTTTGTTGTGCAAACATTGTAGAGTTCACGTACACCACCCTAGATGGGATAACCTACTACATACCTGGACTATATGGCATAGCCTCTTGCTCTCTGGCTACAATCAGTACAAAACAACACGAGATTAAAATCAAGCACAAGAAAAATGATGCAATCAAGAGACGTGGTAAACATGAGATGCACAAGGCTACTGCCGGAATTACACAGCATACTGTTGTACAGCAAACTTATTTTATATAGCTAGAAAGAGTACACTCTAAAATAAGGATTAAAAGTATAGTCAATACACAAACCAGTAATAGTTGATTATTATCATTGTCAAATATTATGTGCTGTACATAATTGTATGTTATGCTTTTATAGGACTGGCAGCATAATAGATTTGTTTACACCAGCATCACCACAAACACGTGAGTAATGTGTTGTGCTAAGACGTTATGATGGCAAAGAATCACTAGGCAATAGGAATTTTTCAGCTCCATTATAATCTATGGGACCATCACTGTAAATGCGATCCATTGTTGACAGAAATATTGTTAATGGGCGCATGGCTGTAATTAATTCTTAAACCCCACCCTTCTAAACCTATGGGCAGTATTTCTTTGAAATACTGGATGAGGAGGGGGTGGAGCTTTAGGGGCTAAAACCATTACATGTTTAATGTCTGTATAAAGCATTTCTACTATATCACCAACCCCTCCTTATGGTGGGGGCAGGGGGAGTCTCCTGAGGAGACTGCGTGGGCTCATACAGGAAAGAAAATTCACTCGCATGAGTTTAAGGGGTCCTGTACCTGACTGCTACTCTCAGTGTTGGACACTGAGTGTGAAACAGAAGCCCCCTGCCAGGCTGGGCCCTGGGCCCCTGCTCCACTGTCACCACTGCTTTCTTCCAGAATGGGAAGCTGCTAGCCAACTCCTAATTAACTGGCCACAAAATGCCAAGGTTGTGTCCGGCAAGATTAAAGGACCTAGCACCTGTTGGCTGTACTTGAGCTGGCTGGCTGAGCGACTTTTGTAAGAACAAATGCCACTTACTCATTCCAAGGACATCAGGGCACTCTGAAGGTGGAAATGTATTGCATTTAAAAGGTTGTCCCTGTTTTATAAGGACACCAATCATACTGAATTAAGACCCACCCAGTTCTAGTCTCTGAATCCCACAAGTTGCCCTACTTCCTGCATCTCCTTGAATTTTCTGAGCTCCTCCAGGTCCTTCCATTAATTCCCCTTTTGTGCTTAACTTGAGTTGAGTTTTTTATCACTTTCTACTGAGACTCCTAGCTAATATGATGTGGAAGAAAAATTTAGCTGTTATGAGTTCTTGTGCCAGAGGAAAAAGAAAAAAGAAAAAGAACCATTTACTGCCAGGTCTTTTTCCATTTCCAATCAACCCAGCTCCTGAGACCTTTGAAATTTGAGTTGCCTTTCACATTTATATTTTTGACTCTCTGTTTTTTCTCTTTTTACCTTGATTGCTTAGAAAGAATTTTATTCATTTTGTTTGCTTGGTAAAATTGCATCATCTAAGGCCAATTCAGCTCACAATATTAATATAAAAGGGGAAATTTTCTTTGTAATAGCAGTAGCAATTAATACATGCATTTTAAAATAATCTATTTATACTTCCTATCTGGGAAGACCAATGTTAAAAGACTGATCTCACACCAGACTGAAGACCAGAAATGAGTGAGGGGCAATTGTGGCCATAATACAAAGACTAATAATAATGAAACCAAAGGCACACAGAGAGAATTTCAAATGACATGTAACTTAGAAAGGTAAGGGGTATCATATTCAGCCTCAATGTGAATAAGTTTGCCAACTCTTTTCCCGTACCACATTAT